CGAAGCTTGCAGCCATGTTAGTAATTTGCCAGAAATGCCATAGTGCTGGAGCTTATTCAGTAAGCGGCTGTGGGGGACCTTATCAAAAGCTTTACTGAAATCCAACACAATGGCGTCGACCTGCTTATTTAGGTCTAGAGTACTAGCCAAGTCATGGGTTGTCAAAAGTAGTTGACTCTCACATGATAGTCCTTTACGAAAACCGTGCTGTGTCGAAGATAATATATTATATTTGTCAAGGTGGCTCATGGTATGGCTATGTATAATATGTTCCAAAACTTTGCTACAAACTGAGGTGAGTGACACCGGCCTGTAGTTAACAGGTGAGGTTTTATCTCCCTTCTTAAAGATGGGGCTAATATTAGCGGCTCTCCAATCTGCTGGGACGTCGCCGGTGTCTAGTGACTGTGTAAAAATAACCTGTAACACAGGTGCAATTTGGGTTGCTGTGATTTTTAATAATCTTGGTGAGAGTCCATCTGGGCCCGAGGCCTTGTTTGGATTAAGCTTAGAAAGCTGTTTAGCGACACCATTCACCGATATGTAGAGAGGTGGTGCGTGCGGAGCCACAGGTCTCCCTAGGGATGGGATGTTGGTTAGGTCCTCCTCTGTGAAGACAGAACTAAACTGATCACCCAGGGCATCTACCTTCTCCTTTGGGTCTGAAGTAAGCACACCATGATGCCTCATGGCTGCAATATTGGTATTGTCGTGTTTTAGTGCTTTTATATAACTCCAGAATGCTTTAGGGTTGTCTTTAATGTTTTCTTCAAGGAAATTGGCGGTGTACTCTCTGTGGGCTTTTTTAACTCTTTGCTTGACCGCTTTTCTGCATGACTTGAATTTGGACCATGTTTCTTTTGAGTTAGTGCTCTTAGCTTTTGAATAGAGTTTGTCCCTTTTGCGCATCGCCCTTCTAATTTGGGGTGAAATCCACGGCTGGTTATGTAGGCATCTCGCCTTCTTCCTAGGAATGTGTTTGTTTGCTGTCGCTAGGATGTTTTCTTTAAAGTCTTCCCAGTTTTCCGAGGCTGTCCTTTTATTAGCTCTTTTTAGAAAGTTATTACTATAGGTTTCCATGTCCTTCTGGAGTTGCTCCAAATTCCCCTTTCTCCACTGGTAGACTAGTCTGCCATGTTTGAGCACTTTTTGTGCCTTGGTATGCACATCAATTATTGGAATGTCGTGATCACTTAGACCAGGAACAATTTTGCTTTTTTCTACTAGAGTGGGATTAGAAGTGAAAAACAAGTCTAGAATATTTGCGGTATGTTCCGTACGATGTGTGGGTTCATTAATAATTTGCTCCAGTCCTACATCATTAACCAAGTTAATATATTTATTGGTGAGGTTGGTGACTACACTTGAGGAATTACTGGTTATGTCCATACCCCAAGTTGCAGTCGGTAGGTTAAGGTCACCTGCTAACCATATATGTGGGTTACCAGGCTTCCTTCGTATGTTTGTAAGGGACTGTTCCAGTGCTTGGTAGTCATCTAGACCAGCTGATGGAGGACGGTAATAGGCTCCAATGTACATCGACTTACTGTGGACTAAGTCAATCTTGACCCAAGTTAATTCATTTGTGGTACTGAGTTCGGGATGATGAGTGGCTATAAGATCATTCTTGGTGGCGACAAAGACCCCTCCACCGCGGCCTTCTCTATCTTTCCTATGTGCCGTATATGAGGGTGGAAAAATCTCACTGTTACTTATTGATGAGTCTAGCCAAGATTCGGTTCCTATAATAATGTCAGGGTCCACCGTATCACAGAAGACCTGAAATTCTGCGGTCTTGTTTCGTATTGACTGAAAGTTAACAACTGCAGCTCTGAGGGGTTTACCTCGTGATCGGTCCCTCGGTGGGTGGTTAGGGACTTGGCTAGTCGGGGTAGATGAGGCTACAGGTGAGCCTACAGAACTCCCTGAACAGGAGCAGGGGCTAGAGTCAGGTGTCGGAAAAGCAAAACAGTTTGAGGTTTCAAATATAGTAGAATCAAACAAGTTGGAGCCAAGGTTAGGGAGACCGCAACTACAACAGATCCATGATATGTTAGGGCGATTAATAGCGTTATACACTGGTGTCGACATGCCCATACAGAATACACATATCCTATGTATTCAAAGGTCTGTAAACTGATTGGTTGAGGTCCATAACAGTGTAGCAAATAACTTTGGCTATGAGCAAGTCTAACTGTTATACACAAAAGGTGTCCAACACAAACTGTGGCATTTCTTGGCTTATTGATGATACTCAATCGTTTGTAGGACCTGGTCAATGTAGCATCTATAACTCAAATGCCTTAACAAATACATGTATCATATATACCAATGCATACCTTTTCCAGGAACCAGCCAGGGTACTCCTTTGTGTTGTCATGCCCAATCCTGATCTTGTAAATGTCCCCGATGGATCCCACATTGACCTGAGTTCAACAGGACAAGTCAGTAAGCATGTGGTGGTACTGATGATAGACGTCTTCTCTGGTTCATAATAATTCTATAATACACAGACTTCTACAAAAGACATATTGTTCCCCCCCACATGATGTGTGAAAAGTTGTTGCTGACCTTGAACTCGCTGGTCCGTCCTGAGGAGAAACAGTCCTGGTCTCCGTTCTGCAGAGTGAGCAGCCCGCTGTCTCCCCTGTCTCCGTACACTGTCAGGTGCACCTGGGCGTGTGTGCCCGCGTTGGCGTGCTCGTTGGTCGTGCACCACACTTGCCACTCTCCCTCTGTAATATAACACAAGAAACTGGACTCTTCCACTAATATGAACTGAGAGCATTACTACGTAATAATGAATGTAGGCTGCGCAAAAAAATGGATAATGGATAAAAAATGACAATGGATAACACTGCCAATACCCCTCACCTGATTTATCTTTTTCTTTCACATCATTCAAGTTACAATGGCATGGTTAATGTTATGTGGTGTCACAGTAAGTCTGAATCATTTTGCTTCCTTAAGAGCACCTTGGTTTGAGGAATGCTTGTAGCACACCTTCATAGCTTATATAATATTCTATAGAAAATTGCAAACAAAAAAATTAAACTTACGAGTTTGAATCTCCTCTTTGTCTCTTCTGTCTGATGGAGTGCAGTCTACCACTTCTGTAAAACACAGCATCAGCATAAAACAATTGGCAAACACAAGATCTTTTACAGTAAGTCTTGATAGAAAAAAATGTTACTCAACAAATTATGCCAAGACAGTATGTTTGTCTACACACCAGACATTGTGAGTTCCTGCTCTGCTTCGTCCTGTGGTCGGTCATGATCACCGATGAACCTGTGGAAACCAGTCAACATGAACATGAAGTAGGAGTAGATACAACAGTTCATCAGAACTGCTGCTGCTTTTAAAGATTTGTTCATCAACATTTAACAGGATAGGTGATTTACATTATGTCTGTGAAGTGCAAGATTGCTTGTGTATGGTTGTAGACATGATTACATTGTGAGTTCTCATTATAAGGTTAACATATTACGTACAACGTCTCAAAGAAACTGGATAGAGATTAGGTTTGTGCATTCTTCTAAATGTATAGCCTGACCAGAGAAACAACAGGGATTAGTATATTGGGTAATTTGCTGTATAATCTCCATACAGACTTACCCTTCATGTAGGAACACCGTTTCTGTTTTAGCAAAGTCTCCTTCCTTCACCACCACTTTGGTGATATACAGAGGGTAGGACGGGCCTTTTCTCAACACAACTCTGTGCAGTTTTCCTAAAGACACAGCCTCCAAGTGATGGACATCAACCTGCAATCATGGATTGTTAGCATTCAGAATTATACCATACTGTGAAATCTAGAGACTCACAAACATCTAAGATCTTTTAAAGTTATATTAGATTTGTAAGTTTAAACAATAATAAACAAACATAGATAAATAATGATAAGCTATATGAATTGTTTGTAAAACAAGGCAAAAAAAATTAAGATGAAAGAAAAGACAAATGAGGGAATGAAAACTAGGAGGAACTCAAGACATAAAAATTAAATAAAACTGAAACATCACTGACCTTCAAACTGTCATCATTTTGTCCACTGACCTCCGGCTGTGCCAGAAGTGGTCTCACACCAGTGTCTCCCCTCTCACCAACTAAGTTGATGCTGAGCAGAGGTCCCCCACCAGAGTTCCCCTCACAATGTTTGGAGATGACGCTAACATTGTAGTTCACCACTGTGGGACAAAAGTGTAACACAAGATTTTAGCAGTAGACTTACACTACTTATACACAAGATACAAGAAATGCATCAAGCCAGCAATATTTGTACACTTTGTGTTAACACAGACTTAAAGGCCACTGCAGTCTATGAGCAGGTGGTATAATGTAGACCTTTTCTTAGCAGGGATTAAACAATAAGGAAATTATATCTAGAAACATTCATTTCTTTCCACTCACATGGCAGTATGTCCTTCCCCGGTCGGATAGCCGGCAGCTCCCTGACCATGGAACCTTCCTGTCCTTCAGACACCAGGCGACAGTCAAAGTCAAACTTCAGCTCCTCGTTAGTGTGCATGTCCAGCAGTTTCACCTGGGAGCAAAGAAGAAAATTAGCCTGGACGACACTATTCTTCAGTCACTATTCATCATGCCATAGATGAGACTAACATTTCTCCTACTGTGGTAGCCTTACACAGCAGACAGATCTGTGTTAGTTTTATAACAGTACAAGTAACTGTAAAAGTTACAGTAGCCTACATGCACATTAACAAAATGTAATAATCCTAATAAACTTCAAGAAGTCAAAATAACCAACAACCTGCCACACTCACCTGTTGAAGATGCCAGGATGTCTTCCCATCATGCCACACTCGAAGCTTATAGATTTCTCCCAAATCCTTCCCAAGATGTAACTGCGTAAAAGGAATGTGAGAAAATGGTTACACTGGCAAGGCTCTACACAACATCTCATCATGAACAAAATAGCACATTCGGGAGACATCCCTGTTTATGTTCAGAACAACACATAAACAGACTTCCACTTACATCAAACTCATCCATTTGTCCCTGCTGGAAGTTCTTGTCACTGTTGTTGAGCAGTATGTCGTCAGAAACCCTGTTTTCTCCAAACACTTTGATGTAGACTTTAGAGTCAGTCCCTGCAGCTGGGACATTACTGGTGGTCACCCAGCACTTCCACTCTCCCTCTGAGGAGTGGGCAAAGTGCAGCAACTATTGTTAGACTTGTAACTTACATGTATGGGTGTTAAAGAAAATGGGAAAGTGTGTTCAAAGTAAGGATGAAAATAGACTATCCAAAAACTTGGTCGAACATTTGGAATTCAACACGTCAAATATTCGTAACCTGGGAAAAGGTCCAATAACATTTCAAAGAAAATTGAAGTACATGAATACGTTATGCATTACTTGAGTTATGTTAGGCAAGCAGACTCAGTCTGTTAATCATGAAAATTTTACATATTCTACTGTGCATGATAGTTATTAGCCTAAGGGTTAAAATGTAGCTTCTTCATGGTTATATTGCACTGTGCAACAACATGCATTATGTCATCTCAATCAACCTGATGCTCACTGGTGCAGTGTGAGTTTGTGCCAGAGGTATTAATAATGATTTGCAACAGAATATAACATCTTTTATAAACAAAACAAAAAGAACAAAACACTGTGACAGCTAATATAGCCAAGCCCAACCAACACGTGAACCATCCAACTGAAATAAAATTAGGAGAATTGTTGATTAATAATAACAAAATAAAATGTAAACTTGTCAATGCTGCTGGAGTCCTATACCTTATGTACATTTAACAGCAGCCACTTGTGAGTCTTGGTTTGCATGCACTGCCCCTGTCTTAGCCGGCTGACTTGCCACTGTGTACAGCTTTGTATTGCACTGTGCCCTTAAATTATCTCTTAACAATGGACTTTCTATCAGGAATCCTTTCTTGCCAGTTCTGTTGTGTATCATATTAGTATATATTACAGCCTTCTGTTATCAAGTGTGCAGCATCATCAGATGAAGTTTGAAGGTCTAGTAACTGATAACAGATTTACCATTAACTTTTTATGTCTCCACATTTATATTAAGAATACCTGCTATTCTTAATGTTGTATAATGTCTTAATTAAGTTACTATTTGTTACAATCATCTTTTAATAAGACGGTCAATGATAATTGTCAACATTAGCTTGGCAACCAAGTATCTTCTGATATAAAAATACATATATGTAGTTGGAGTGTACAATACGTCACGTAATAATATGTCTTATGTTAATCAGAATTTCTTGTATCTCTCTTTAGATCTATTTTGTATTGTACAATTTCTATCCTAAAGGCCTGAAATGGGAAAAAAGAGTGAGTTGACAAAGGATTGCAGATGAATCTAACATTATAAAACAATAGCAATGAGGAAAGAGAAGTAAATTTTCACCAATAACTTGTTGAAAGGGAATAATAAATATGTCAAGAAAAATACTAAAGTTAAATTTAATATTATAGGCTTATAACGTGTGATAGATGATGTAGGCCTTAATAATATTTCTCTCCAGAAGACTCCAGAGAACATGATATTACCTGTGACGGAGTCCTTTTCCCTTGTGTTGTCGTCATCGTTGACCTCTCCCAGCAGACGCAGGGTGCGGACAGTCTTGCCGTCCTCCATGCTGCTGTCCAGCCACCTGGAGCAGGGGAAGATGTACTCTGACGTCGCTTCTGCCGACTCCTTCAAGGTCACCTTGTCCAGGAACCAACCCGCACCTGGTGGACAAACAACAAAGCTGTCAACTAAACTACAAGTAAAAATACATTGTATATTCGCAAAGAAATATGATGATGATGATACTTAAAATTGTTTAGTTGATGTTGTTCAGAACATTTAGCAGATACTATGGAACATCTGTACTTACCTCTCCCCAGGTTGTCGTGACCAATGTTGATGTACTTTGGTTTCCCCACATCCAGAGCAGTTACATGGAATACATCAACCTGTGCCAGAAGAAAACAGCTTAGACTTTCACATAATTATGTACATGTAATATATGCAGTTCATTAAAACTATATCGTACTGAGTGAATACATAGTATTACAGGTATTTCTCCGACTCTGGGTTTCATAGCTTGTTGAAAGAAGAAAAAGGGAACATATAATAGGGACATCTTGAAAAGGCACCAAAGACAGCCATATGATAATGTCTACACAATTACCTGGCCCTGCTGGAACTTGTCTGTGTTGTTGATGGAGTGTGTGAGGATCCGTCTCCCTGTGTCACCATGGTCTCCAAATATGGTGAAGTACACCCTGGCCTCCGTACCACCCGCAGGTACATCTCCCGTGTACACGGAAACCTCGTATGTCCTCTCTGAACAATAGACAGCAGCAAAGTTGTGATGTCAAACAATTATGCTTCTTAGAAAGTGGCAAATGTAGCACAAATGTAGTGTACTTGTCTGTGAAACCTTCAGAAGATGTTCCTGTGTCATCAGGAATATCTACTCTATGGTAAACAGTAACTACAATAAGAGTTATACAATTGCAACTATCACAAGCAGAAGAAAAGTTAACCTTGTAGAGGAGGAATGTCTGGCCTGATAGCAGGGAGCTCGATTGTGGCACCTTGTTCACTCTGGTCAGACAGCCATGTGTGCGGGGTGAACAGGAACTCTTGTCTCGTGTGGCAGTCCTTCATCTTTATCTGTAAGTCAGCAGTCAAACATGAAATTAGTTTTCACTGTAGATGCTCTACTTAAATCAAATGGATCAATTATGTACTCAGCACACTCAAATATACAGACACACTATAAGGCAAAGTGTGATGTTATTCAAGAAAACAACTTATTGTGCAAAAAAAGTGTGTAAATTTAAACATACCTTTTCAATGAACCAGGCTTCTTTTGTCCCTGTACCATCATGGCTCAGCCTAATCTTGTAGATTTCTCCTATGTCACCTACATTAATCTGGCATGGGCAACAACAAAAAAAGATTTTCAGTATACATGTACATTGCATTTTGAAAAACAAAAGTTTTTCAAAATTCTTCTGAATATTACAGATCAGGTCTCACATGACAGAATCGCTCACCTCAAGCTTGTGTGTTGTCCCTGCCTGGAATTTCTTGTTTAATGTGATAGGCTCAGTGTTACCCTGTTCTCCGTACACAACCAGCTGCACCTTGGCTGTCGTCCCACAGTCCTGGTCAGACCCTGTGGTTACCCAGACATCCCAGCTACCCTGAGAGGTTTCCTCCTTCTGCTGTGTGTTGGGAGAGGCTGGCTGAACAACTGGAAAAGGCCAAAAGGGAATTGTCCATGCTTAAACTTCTCACAGCATAGAGATTGCATCAAAAGTTGACTTAACATTCTTGAAGTGATACATGACACATATTGTTCTATAAAAAAAGGATGCATACCTGATTTAACAGTGGTATGAGGGACTGTGAAAACTTCTAATTTCTTCACTACTGACATTTAAATGACTGATGTGCCATCTACTTTTTGTAATTTTAATACCAAAATGCAGTTGCTATATCTAGTAATTCTATATTTGCATGCCTGAAAAATAGTAGCTACTAGTAATAATCATCATATCCATGTAACGTTAATCTGTTATCTGACATGATGTATAAAACTAATAAATGGCCTTACCCTCCAGAGGGATCTCTCTTTCCAGCCTGCCATCTTCCTTCTGTGAATCCAGCCAGCACTCTGTGGTGAAGACTGCCTCAGCCGGCGCATACTCATTTTCCTTCACTACAACCTTACTCACAAACCAGCCTTCTCCTGTTAAAAAATACATCCCAGACATTACTCACAGGAAGACAGGAATTTCACAAGATACAAATACCTCAACTGTAGCAGCACGGTGGTATAATAAAGACATTCTAAAGATAGAAGTATTTCTATGCATACCAGGTTTGTCAGCATCGTGTCCAATCTTCAGGACCTCAATGTCTCCAACTGACACTGCCTCCATCATGAAGACATCCACCTGTTATGTACAAATCACAGAAAAATCAACATTACAGGCAAACAGCAGCATTCAGAAGTTCAAGTGTAATTAAGCAAATAAAACATTATGCAGAATGTAGGGTACAACGTCCACAGCAAGCCTTATTAGGAGGGTATTAGGAAAAAATTATATCTTGTTGATTTTATGTGCTACTATGGTTGAACAGAAACATACAAACCTGTTTTCTCAGAAAAGGAACAGCATTTGTGAGGGACTTGTGTAGATGTCTTTTGCCTGTGTCTCCCTTGTTGCCATAGATACAGACATAAACATTCCCAGCAGTCTCTGCTCCCTCCACATCCCCAGTGTGCACCATGATGTAGTACTGCAAAACTGAAGGGGAAAAAGAAGAGAAAGATTTATATTTCTTATCCTGACTACTCTCATGGTTGCAGGTGAAACATGAATGAAGCAAGTTTTGTTCCCACAACAAATTATTCTCTTGTCCATACATGAAAATTAATTGGATAGCTGGAAATAAAAAACAAGCACATTTTCAGCACCACGGACAGCAGAAGCCACCCATTTGAAGTGGATTTTAACTGATCTATAAAAGGTATCAGACACACCTACTCCTAGTGAATGGAATATACCTTTAAAGCTTTTTCCATTAGGCTTTAGCTGCATAAAGGTAAATCATCCCAACTTTCACAGTCAAAGAAAATCTGATCTAAACATAATTTTTTTCTTTACGACTGACATAAACGACAAAGTGAGACTGACCAGGCAGTGGCATTTTGCCGGCTCTGAGTACAGGGACTTCCTTCTGCAGACTGCCGGTGTCGGGGTCGTCACTCAGCTGGCAGTCAAAGTGGAACGTCAGGTCCTCACCTGTGTCCTGGTCACGTAGGAGCACCTGGTACAGGTGGGAACAATACTGTGAGCAGGTGCATGCATTTGATCTAATTACTGTTGGTGCCATTCGTACACATGCTGTATTGAAAGCATGTCATAGTAGAGAGATAAAGTAGAGGTCTGAAGGCACCTACACAAAGCTATTCTCCAATTTTAAAGAAAGAGGACATAGTGAATACAACTTACTGAGTCTATATGCCATGTGGTTGGCTTGCTTTCTGGTTCCAACTCCAGACGGATTTTAGTCAGCTCTCCAATCTCACCAGCCTTGATCTGCCAGCAAAACAATACAGTCAGTTCAATTCAGGAAAGCAATTCAATCAAGTTTTCCATCTTATTCTAAGAAAAAGGGAATCATATGTCATTGACAGTTTTAACTACGTCATGGTATTATATATTATCTATCAGAAACATGGCACATTGTGCACCAAACACTTGAGTATCCTCTGATTATCCAATGCTACAATTTTATAACATTGCTAGATTAACTGCTTCTTTCACAAATTTAATTACATGTACTAAAACAGAAGAATGGTAAACTCACATCAAACACGGCTTCCTTCCCAGGCTCGCTGTACTTGCCGTTGTCCTGGTCTGTGCCCAGGTTGATGGGACCAGAGTTCCCAGTCTCCCCATACACAGTCAGCCAAACCTTAGCCTTGGTCCCTGCACCCACACTGTCACTGGTCCGCAGGTACACTGTGAAGTTTCCATCTGTGATGCATGGGGAAATTGTGGATATTAAGTACATTTATTTATAAGGGCTTGATACTTGACTAACGTTTCTTGATATTCCTGTAGCTTGACTGTTACAATTAATGGCTATATGTAGATTCAGTGTATTCATGGACACTGTAAGACATACCAGTGCTAGTGTGTATTGAACTAGGTTGCAGGAAATGGTTAATTAATTTAAGTCATATTATTCAGTATTCAACTTCTTAGATATAGCTGTATCTGCTAGAGGACTCAGTACATGCATACAGGTAGCTCAGATACGTACTGGACTTTTTGTCTTCATTTTCCTCTGAGCTGCGCAGGCGCTCTAGTTCTTCTGTAGCTTCCACTGGACGCAGCCCTGTTGTGAGATGAAAAAAAAAACAAGATCGTCATACACCAATCTGAGTAAGATATCTGTACCATTACCAAGTTAATGCTAAAAGACATGAAGAGCAAAATAAGGCAGAGATGTTTGAAGAGCATTCCCCCAGCCTGGTAATTCAGAATGGGAGAGAAAAAAAGGTTACCTAATAGTGAGAGCTCTCTCTCCGTACAGCTGTCCTCCATGTGATCATCCAGCCAGTGGCCACATGGGAAGAACCACTCCGACACAGCTGATTCCCCCTCATGTACCGTCACAGCGTCTACGTACAGCCCGGCGCCGTATCCTACCCCATCATGTCCGATGACAACCTTGCTGAGTTGGCCCAGTGAAACAGCCTCCATCAAGAACGTGTCCACCTGGAACCAATGAGGCATAGATTTTCTCAAAAACACTGTTCTTCTATAATCAACAAATAACACCAACAAGCTGAATACTGTGTTGACTGTATCTATTGCTTGCATTTAGTGTTGTATTACCGGTATATGTTTTATAACTACAAGAGTATTGTACCTGCACAACATCAGTTAAATCTGCTGTATTGTGCATGTGTTGCACAGTGTAGTGCTGTTGCAAGAAATTTGAAATGACTGTAAAAAGGAGAAACATTGAGTCTGCTGCCTAACCTCATAACCAATAGCCAAATGGTTACTTTAATGCGCTTATAAGGCTAAGGAGTATCCCATGGGAATACCCTACCTGATTTTTGCCAAATTTAACTGCATTAGTGGTAGAGTGGAAGAGCCTCCTCCTCCCTGAGTCTCCCCTCTCCCCATACAGGGTGATGAAGACGTTAGCATCAGTGTGGGCTCCCCAGTGGTCTCCAGTGTACACTGATACATAGTACTGCAACACTGCAAAGAGGAAAAAAAATATATAATACAGACCAAGCACAAAAACACATGGGTCTTTCTTATCTGTAACACAAGTGTCTCTGGACCTTTCTTCTGTTGTTGTTGCCTCCATCCATCATTTTGGCAGGTTAAATTCTGAAGATATGCTCTAATGTTTACAATACTTTCAATACAAAATCCTTCTCATACAAGTAAAGCCCAAAACATTCATCCATTCCACAAGTTTAAAGTCTTCTTACAGTTGAACCCAAACATTATGTAAAGATGAAAGAACTCCACTTTACCTGGTAGTACACTGTGACTATCCTTTGCGATGGCCATCTCCCTGACAATGTCATAGTCATCCTCGCTTCGTGAGAGCCAACGGTCAAACTTGAACAGGAACTCTTCTCCAGAAGACAGAGCCTGCAGCTTCACCTGTCAGTGAGAGGGAGAATTCATTTTTAATTACCTTTCCACAACATAAGCATCAGTTGCAACAATGTACAAAGAGTGAAAAGTTGAAGCTATGCTTTTATCTATATAGGCAGAGAAGCTTTGGCGACATTAGTTAAAATTGTGTCTATGGGCTGAAACTTAAGTCACATATCCTGATACATGTATTTTCTGACACATTTTACATGTTGACCTATTGAGGAATACAAAATCAGAGATTAAAGATGTGACAAGAAGAACTGAGAGATGTTGTACTACTTGCCTGTTGTAGGTGCCAGCCTTCCCACTTGTCTTCATCTTCATATCCCACCCTGATTTTGTAGATGTCTCCTAAGTCAGCTGTAGAGATCTGTTATGCACAAAAAACATTAGTTGACCTGCCAGTCTTTGATACCAAAGATACACTGTGTTTATGTTTATTCATTGATGAATTGAATCTACTTTCCTAACATTTTCTTAAAAATGAAGCAAAAGAACACAGTATAAAGAAAGGAATGAAAAATTAGACTTGCACTTTTTGCTCAATGAATGAAATTTTAACATAACCTCACCTGAAACTCATCAGTTGCTCCTGGTTCAAAGCACTTGGTCTCCTCATTAGCCAGAACAAGCTCCTCTGACTTCCCTTTATCACCATAGATGACCAGTGTAGCCTGGGACCCATGGGTGGACCTGGAGTCAGTAGCTGTGGTCACCCAAACCTTCCAGTCCTCACCTACACAGGCACAACCCCAATAAGCATTGCAACGTTCAGGCTGTGGCAGGATAATACTCACTATTCAACAATGCCAAGCCTGGTCCAAATTTCTACAATCATATCAAGTTTTCTTGTTTTTAAATTATAGATAGAAATGGCATGCATACAACAGACAGAGACACAAATTTCCTCAATACGCATGGGTATAGGATACCTGGTTAACAAAAACACTGGCAGGCAAGATTATAATGCCATCAAATCACATACCATCCAGGCTGAGCTCCCTCTCTGTCTGCCCATCTCCCTTGTCCTTGTGCAGCCACTGGTTACAGATGAACACGTGTTCCCTGTCAGACTCTGCCGACTCCATAATCACCACTTTATCCAGGAACACCCCATCTCCTGAGGAGAGGAGACACACATGTAATGACTACATCTGCAGGGTTTGTGCACCCAGCAGGGTTTTCAGCACCAAGGACAGGGACTGCGTTTGAAAAATTACAAAGACAAGCTTACAGATTATTATAGCAGTAGCTTTGAAAGACTTCCTGTAAATATCAAATGCCACTTTTTCCAAAAGAAGACAATTTGAACTCCATGAAGTTTTACTGCCTCTTCTCACCTGACTCATTTTCCAGTGCTATGACAACTTTCTTCAGACGGTCCAGTGACACGGCCTCTACTGCAAACAGGTCCATCTGTCCTGGCTGGAACTTGGCCTGGGTGTGGTTCAGTGGCTTGTGGAGCAGGCGGCACCCGGTGTCCCCTCTACTCCCGTGGATGGTGATGCACAGGTTGGATGTAAAGCTGGCATCTGATTCTGCACCTGTGTATACTGCTACCTGATATGTCAGGACTGCAAAAGGAAATGAGGAGGAATTTTTAGACTTTTTAGGTCTTCAATACCCAAATGTTTTGGATTGTAGACTTGCAAGATTGACTTATTAAGGGGGTAAGAAATAGGAAACCCTAAGTACCAGTACTAATATTGAAAAAAAGGAAAGTAGATATGACAAGCAACAAACAAACAAATCAAAGTTTGACAACATGACTGCCTCCTCACCTGGCAATGGTTCGACCCCTGGTTTGATGACTGGCAGCTCTCTCCAGACATCTCCATCATCACGTGAGCGAGACAACCAGCGGTTAAACACAAAGTTCAACACTTGGTAGTCATTCAGATCCTTCATCTTCAGTCTCTCCAGATACCAGTCAGGCTTCTCCCCTTCATTGTTGTGCCCTATCCGGACCTTATAGATGTCACCAACACCTTTCACATTCACCTGGCAAAATGTAGACAGCATTGCATGAAAATCTATTACTACTTACATTAGCATTGGCATTGGTATTGGCATTGAGGTTCAAGCTCCCCAAATAATGCTTGACTTCCTACTCTACTGAAAGCTTAGAAGAGACAATATCTCTAATATAGTGATTAAGTGAATGACAAATTACATGTACGACCTTAGATAACAGAATACGTGACACTGTACAATGCAAAATACTACACTATATAGAGTAACAATTGGTTTGCATAGATTAAATCTTAGGCCTACCTTGAATTTATCAGCAGTGTGCTGTTGGAACAGGCCGTCCTTCCCCAGCCCCAGCTGGATGGGCTCGGAGCACTTCTGGTCTCCGTACACAAACAGGGTGACTTCTGCATCTGTCCCAGCATCCTCCATGCTCCCAGTGGACACATACACCTTCCAGTCACCCTCTGGAGGAAAAATAATGTTGAAATTATAGCAAAAGATATGCTATATAGTATTTCACATTGTTGATTTGACAAAAAAAAACAGATAACAAATTGAAACATATAATAACACCAAACATAAACTTCATATGAAATGAATTCAATATATGCATGGTAGTGTCATTTTTGCTGTATCAGTGCATTTGTTACTAAAGGAAATAAAGGAAATCATTATTATTTTCATGCAAGATTGACTTGATGCATGATTTGAGTTAAAACCATGGCTGATCAAGGGTGGAAGGATGGCAGATGGGCATGTAAATTTTACATTATGCAGTCAGAGTCTGGGCAACATATGCAAAGGAAACAATGAAGCGTTGGCTATAGGGCCAGAAAAGCCATGATGATATGTGACTCCTAATAGGTTTCCATTTCTTACAGAATAATACAGATAGGAGGAAGCCATGACATCATGTTGTAGCACAATCAAATTTGGGCATATAATGCTTTAACATAATATTATGTTAAGTGCCGTAGCTAACATTTATGATATCAACTCCAATACTGTTAGCTTTTGAAGTATTATTTGGACATCAGGCTTATTCAGGATATATATTATTATATTGAGACAAATAGAAATGTGGCTAAAACGTGCACCAGTGCAGGAGATACATGTAGTTCACCATACTTTGTACTAAACAGCAGCAAAAGACACTATGTGGTGCACTTGTGAGAAGGAAAACGATTGGCTGAAATTTTACAAACAAAAATAACACCAAGAACTGAACAGTTGTGAGGAAGACTACATTTTTCTTGTAAAACTATCATAATACATACGCTCTGGCTCTGTTTCTGACAGGGAGTCTGTGTTGGTTTCTGGTTCAGGACCGCGTTCTGAGTCAGACTCCGCAGCAAAATCACTGTCACCATCACCATACTGCTGACCAGGGCTACTCAATTCCTTCACCGACTTTTGTAACACGACCTCAACTATCTTTTTGGCTTGCTCTTCAATGGCACACACAGACAGGCAGGCAGGCAAGGTGGAGAGAAGCATGGAGATGTTAGTAATATGTAAGCACAGACTTGCAGTATGTTGGTTAATGTTAGGAATGTCAATTAGTGGAATGTTAGACAGACTAAACTAAGAACTTTCATGCATCTAGCACCCCATAACAGCTTGAATATAGTTCTGGCGTTGTTTTGAGACTAATTTCCTGTAAGAAAATGTAACTGCCTAGTATTGAACATGTTTTCTCTAAGGGAAGCATGCATGCATGCCAACTAGTACATGTATGTTCTGAATAAATCATGCTTCCAGAACCTTTCAGCTTAGGCATGCCAAAACATGTCCCAAGGACATTCAAAATGTCATGTAAGCGTGCAATTTTTTTTCTACGATGCTAATCTAATGTAGCTTGGGTGGTGCCCTAATGTTTAGTTTATGCCTGGGCTCCTATACCCCACTCTCCCCACTACAAGCTTGGGACTATAGGAGCCAAGGCACAGACTCACTAGCTGTGAGATGGTATTGAGGCTAAAGCTACTGGCTATAATCTGCTGGCAAGAAGGTGCTTTTAATGTAAAGGAGTGGTGATGCTGTGCATTAGCCTTACCTTCCAGTTCAGCTGGGTGTTTGCGCAGGGAGCAACAACACAGAATGGTGGAGAGACAGACACAGTGTTAGTCACATGGGCACACATGGAGAAAAGAATGAATGCCAACATCTCATGACAGGGGGTAGTAAAGACATGGTGCTAGTACATGTGAAATGATAGTTTTAATGTTCGGTTGTTGTATCCAATCCTACCTTCAAAGCTTTCCTCAGCTGCTGACTCTGATGGCACAGGTCTCTCTTCTGCAAAGAAAAGGATCAAGTACCGCATGTTATTTTGAAATAACCACTGAACTGCTACTTATAAGTGAAGTGTAATTTGAGGTTGATGGAGGAGGAATATGGTTATGAAATAATGATAATATTGAGACTGTTTACTGTGATGACATGAGAGGGTTGTCCTAATTTACCTTTAAGAGGTAGAGTCCTCACCAGCTGACCATCTGCTCTCTTTTCTTCTGGGTGTCTGATGAAAGAAAATGAAAATGATCCCTTCGGATGAACTGAAACACCTCATAGTCTATGCTTTTGCACCTCAATCAAAAATCCTAGACAGGGCCTCTTTAAAACAGATCAATCAATCTGACAACTGGAAAGCTATGGTAACAAATTAAAGCAAAACTAAAAGAAAATTTCACTACAAGTTTATCTTATCTCACCTCTCGTATGGGAAGATCCATTCAGTCCTGGCACCCTCGGACTCCCTGACGATGATGTGCTGACAGTACCAGCCTGTATCCGACCTGCCTGAATCACACCTCAGGACCACGGACTTCAGCGCTCCCAGGGACACGGCCTCAATCTCAAACACATCAACCTGCAACACACACACAACAGTACAGACTTTCTTAATACAACTTTTTCTTCACGAAGGACAACTTCAATATCAATGAGCACTTGACATAAAGACATTAATGATTTTTCCATGGTATTCAAATCATATTTACCAACATCCCCTCTTGTTAGTCCTTTGGAATCAAATTACCAACATCCTACTGCTACAAAAAATCCCAGGTCTGTAAAGCATTTGTCACACATGTCACAAATGTTGGGGACTTTTGATGGTGTTTGATCAATCATGTCATAGCCTGGTTACCAAACCTATTATAGCTCCCAAGTCCTACATCCTCTCCACAAATTTGGACTTAGGAGCTATAATAGGTTTGGTAACCTTTGCGGAGAGGATGTAGGACTTGGGAGCTATAAGAGGTTTGGTAACCGGGCTAATCATGTCATAGACATTGAAATAGACACTTCTGCTGCTCAACTTACTTGTCTTAAGAAAATAAATCCTTACAACTGAAAATAAAATGAAGTAAGGGAGAAGCCAATCATATTGGAAAAGAGGTGAGTAGATGCTGTCCCAAGTTTAGCCTACCTGGCCTGGCTGGAACTTTTTCTCCTGAGTAGAGTTCATCAGCAGTCGCTCCCCTGTGTCGCCCCTCTCTCCCACTATGTTCATGTAGATGTCTCCTTCTGTAAAGGCCTCCTCTATGTCGCCGGTGTACACTTGGACATAGTACCGAAGAACTACAGAAAAAATAACATGAAGGATAATTATGGTTAACTTACAATGTAGTTCTACCATTTTTGTACAAAATCTTATCTTGAATTCTGGTTAGCTTTATCATTTAGCCAGTATCAACTTTTGTCCCCAAAAAAGTCTACTGATGATAAAATGTAATGCCCTATTATCCAGTTTTCTGTTTTTCACATTGTATATTACATGTGTTGTAATAGGCTTAGGTAGGTACATATTATTTTTAGATGCCTAACACACATTAAGTGCTTCCTAGATAACCATTTTTGATCCATGTGCTTGTTGTTAGGTACCTTAAAATGCAAGGGACAAGTTCTGATAAAGAAATAGCATACCTGGGAGGGTGTTCTTTCCTGGCTGGACGACTGGAAGCTCTCTCATGATGTCCCCGTCCTCTTTGTTACGGGACAGCCAGCGGTGGAACTTAAACACCAGCTCCTCATCGCCATTCAGGTCCTTCATGTGTACCTGCATGGGACAGTCATCAGAAGGAGTTTAACTTAATATAAACATAACTAGAAAGGCAATATTTGCAAACACATTCATATATATGGTGACAGGAGTCTAAATCCCTCCTGCCATAAAATTGCAACATGATGTAACCCAACACCAGTTACCATGGTGACAGATGTCTGGTTCAGGTCATTGACCATATTTGTTTGTAACAGAAGAATAAGAATAAGAGGTGGAAACTGAGTAAAAACAATATTTTCCTTTGGTAAAGATAATAATGATAAACCAAGATTTTCAACATCAAATTATATTTAGTTTTTAGTATTGGTGTACATCCTTGAATAACACTCACTGACGTGACAATTGATCTCTCAAGGAACTTAAAAGTTAATGATGATAAACCTGTGCTGTACCTTGCCAAGATACCAGTCTGGCTTGTCTCCAGTGTTGTCATGACTGACACGGACCTTGTAGATTTCTCCTACATCAGACAGGTTAACCTGGGAGAAGCACAAGATTACCATATATTAACACAGAGCTGAAAAACAGTGCTCATTAGATAACACAGCTTTTCTTGGTCCACTGACATTGGAGTGCCCAAAAGAAGAACAGTATGTTTAGTAAGGCAAGGCAAGCTCTTCATTCAAGTTGTCCTCCAAATTATGATGACTACAGGTGATGTAAATATTAAGAGGATTCATTGAAAATTAAGGCATGAAGAGAACTGATGGTGCTTATACAGGAGACTTTAAGGAACGTGAGAGGCAGAAATGTCAAGATGTCATTTAGGAAATGTGGAGGACTAGTACTTACTTTGAGAGCATAACCCCTCTGAGAAGGCAAGGCAAGGAGAGTAGAGAAAAGACAATTCAGATTGCCAAATCAAAGCACTTATTATAATAAGAAATAAGGAGGGGCTAAGGAGGAAACAGAAATTAACTGTGGCATGCATGATCAAATTCAACTCAGAACTGAAATTAATGAACACTTACAAATGTTGTGCCTTGACTATATCAAATTGATGAGAGTTAAAAGTACCGGCAATGATAACTCCTAGTGATCTTCCAGGGGACCAACTCCAGCATTAATTTTTTTTACAGTAAAGTCCTTCTTGAACAATAATAGTGTATATGGCATTGCCTACATGTATCTGCATTTTCATTAGCCCTTGGGCCACACAGGGCTAATCCACTGATAGCACTTTTTCACTTGTGCAAATTATAAAGTCTTTCCTATGTTCTAGGGGGATCAAAACTCTGACCTACCCAACACAAAGCAAGCACCTCAATTTACCCACTAGGCTGCCACTCGAGTCCCTACCTGGAAGGTGTCCTCATGTAGCGCCTCAAACATGCCAGACTGGCCTCCCCGGCCCAGCACGATGGGTCCGGACCCACCCTGGTCACCAAACACCTCCAGGGTCACCTGCGCATCTGTCGACTCCTTCCCGGTGATCACCCACACCCGCCAATCACCCGCTGCCATGGCAACAGGACCTTGTTAGCTCAGTCTGTACTTATTGTCTTGTGTAAGAATTTCATCAAAGCTTCACATATATGTACATTGTCAAGTATGTAACACAAAGAGCAAATTAGTACAAATGTATGCCTGCGGAGCTACAAAGATTCTAGAATGGTCAGAGTTGCCAGGAACATGTACTTAGTATTTTGCAATTTTAAGTCACTTTTTTTCCCTGGTTGTTAACAACCTTCTCACTTGATTCATACAATTGTCACCATTAATACTTTATGTTTTTACACTCAATTTGTACTCAACAAAAAGCTGCTAACCTTCCACACTGTCCTCGTCTGGAGTCCTCTCCCTGGGGGTCTCATCTGGGGTGACGGGAGGGGAGGGGGAGGGGGAGTTGCGAGGGGTGCGCATCCTCTTGACAGGAGACTGGGGAGGGGTCAGGTCCTTCACAGGGGAGACCACAGACGACTCTGGGGTGCTGGGGCTGCGCTCCTTCTTCTTTCCAACTGGAGAAATACATAATGTTAACAATATTGCATAAAAAACTAACTACGGATAACCACATGTGGTCTAGTTTGTATGAAAAACAAAATATCAATCAGGCATATTTTTAACACTGGCAAATAACACTTTCTTTGAATGAAAGCTCCCTTTTCTAGTTGAAAACAAAATTGCCATCAGTCTCTGACTGTTACAGTAGTACAGTTGTAGTAACTACAGTCAATTTTCAATTGAAAACTGCATTTGACTACAAGGACAAGTAAGGATAATAATATTGTATGACATAACTTACATTTAATGACTTCTGGGTAGAACCTGATGTTGGGTTCCCCTGTGTCTACACACGGCCTAGCCTTGCCGTCTGCCTGGATCCCCACATACACACCCCGACTCTTCATAGACTCCAGCGTCACGTAGCCTTCTGAATGGTGCTTCGTGACTTGGAATTGACAGTATCTGTCACCAATACCCTACAGATGTGCAAAATGTTTGATCATGATACATGTAGCTGTTACATATCAAGAGAAAAGCACATTCATAGAAAGATTTCCTTTGAACAAACCTTACTTGACAGAGAGCATATATGCACACGGTAAGTTCATCTTTTACTATAATTGATGATGATATATCATCAGTGAGCAGTGATTTTAGAATGGTCTAATGGTCCATATGAAGTACAATTAATTCATTGTTGATCTTTCTATTGACTCAACATTTACAAACTTTAAGTTGTAATTTGCACAGTTTTTAGGTAAATCTATTCACATGCAGAAACATCTTGGGAACATGGTGTTTGTTAGTTGATTTTTTTTTATAAAAATATGGAACAAAAAAAAAAGATAAAACTCACAAAGCCATCACACTGCCCGTCTTTGATGCGCAGGTAGCGGTTGGGGAATTCCAGGCTCTCAAACATGCGGACACATCCGTCCTGGACCTTGATGACACGGAAGTTGGCCTCCTGGTTGCGCTTGGCGACGCCCGTACACTGTCCGTCCTCCGTGATGGCGAAGCACTGGCTGTTACTGCTGTTCAGCCGGATGATACCATCATCTCGGAACACCCCCTGGAGACAACAGTTAAAACTGCAGGGTCAAAATCTTTCCTTGCAAGACAAACAAAACACAACTTATTACCAGATTTTGATCTTAACTGCTGCGCCCAAGAACCACAGGACAGAGGCAAATGGCGTGCGACCATCAAGCCCCAGCATCAGAGTGCAGGCATGTCTAACTCACGGTTACAGGGAACAACAGACGATAAACTGGATAAACAGGGATTGTACATTGTATCTCTCCCGCTCAAGTAAGTAAGGACCGCACAGGCTATTAAAACAAAGAAACTGCACAATTATAATGGATGAATGAATTATACAACATGGATATAGTCCATACCTTGACGTAGACAGAGAACTGGCGTCCAGGGCCAGTGTTGGTGCCCCGTGTGTCAGCAGCTTTCCCGTTGGGCATGAAGGTCATGTGCTGGCTCGGGTACTTCACAGACTCCAGCATGATGCAACGGTCCACTTGAACTTTGACCTGGAACTCACAGAACGCTCCTCCCTTGCCCTAGTACAAGAGTAACATGAAAGATATGTCAGCTGAAAAGCAAACCCATGCATGTTAATATCTCAAGTTTTATAGTTTGATAACAAATCAAGACTAGATATTCAAAGATGTTCTTGTCAATAAGATTAAGAAGAACATCGAGAAAAAGGACACACTCAGCTAGAACATCACTTTGACACCTATACATACAGTTTGACAACATGCATATACAGGAATATTCATGGCACAAGTACTGGTATAACATCTCTAACATGAGTCACTGAGTGTTGTCATGCTCACACTATTTGGGTAACAGATAAGTCACACCAAGACAGACTTACACCTGATAGCACTAAGGACAGATAAGAGTACTTGAGAGTGCAAGGACTGTTTCAACCTGGGTAAGGTAAAAAAAGACTGATTTTTATCCATCCCTTGAGGTCAGATTTTAATATATATAACCTGAAAATGATTTAACTTTGGGTCTCATTTGTGCTGGTCCTTCTCACTCACAAGTTTTGGGGCACACGTGCTTTGAGTAAACAAACAACACTGAAGTAATTAAACAAAATCCCTGATTAGTTTTAACATACCGGAAGCATAGGCAAGAAGGAAGTGAGATCAGAGTCAGAAGACTTAGGCTCAGTCGAGGTGGACTTGGTTGACCAACTCTCCTGCTTTGAAAACCTCTTGCTCTTCACGTGAGAGTCTGTATTCTGCCACCTTCTTGTTTTCAGCTTTTGAGCCTTGGGAAGATTTCCCCCGTCTGATTTAGCCTGGCAGGACAGGACCTGTAACTGGGTGGCTGACTCATGTTTTGGCAGAGAAAACCGTTGTAACCGTCTAAGGCTCTTCCCTCCTGTGCTAGTCCGCTTAGGGGGTGGTTTTGGGACTGGAAATGGGACTGATTTAATGAGAGGTGGAGGGGACAGGACGGGTGGCATGGGTGACTCAGGACGCAATGATCTGTCACCCGGAGGAACGGGGGATTTTGCTCGTCGTAAAAGTTGAGGAGGTTTTAAATCTCCAGCAAGCAGCTGACCCTTATGGTCCATCATGATGGGAGTGTCTTCAGGTGTAGGGGTCTCCTGATCATCATCAGGACATTCAACCATGAAAGAATCACCGAAAGATGGGTCAGGAGAGGTGGCAGCAGATTTAGACATGAGAGATTCGTGATCAAAGTCAGAGCTGGAGACTTCATTTGGATCGAAGGGATTGTCCTCAAGCAGCTTGGAAGTGAAGGATAAGGAGTGAGAAAAGAAAAAAATATTAGTCAAGAGTGCAACAGAGGAAAGTCTGTCTAAGGTTCTGAACTAAAACTGTGACTCTTGCATGCAGAGATATATCTCAGCTTCAAATCCCCATGCAGTACTTTTCAAGTAGCAGTCAAAATGGGCTGCTGACAAAAAAAAATTAATTTTTGTAGTAAGAACACCAAAGAGCAGCTTTGGTTTATACAAACAAAAGGAGTGAATTCTTCAATTTAAAGAAGAAAAATGTATGACTGGCATATAAAGTAATATAGTAGGTCCAAAATGAAACAACATTACTAAGAGCTACCTGTATGTATAGAAAACCCTTTAACTCTAAATCATATAAAAAAATCAAATCATCATGACTTAATGCAGCTACATTGTATGTGCCACAACTGTCCATTCTGTGATGAGAAAAACTACATCAGAGCACAGAGACAAAGATTGAGTGTCCCCTACCTGTCCCAGCACTCTGTTCTGGTCCACGGCGAGGTGGTACGCTGGGTTGGGCAAACTGCTGAAGACACGGACATTGTTCTTTCTCTTCACAACCTCAAACACACCTGGATACAACATACAGGACATGTGATAATGTGTGGTTCATCTGGCTTCATGTTCCTCCATTTCAATAAATGGGAGATATGACAAATGATGACCTTTAAAATGTTGTTACTGTTAACAGTAATGTTCCTGCGCATTAAGTTAGAAACAAAATTGTTCAATTGGTATGACATACTGTGAAATGTGTAGATTTGGCAAGGTTTTATCTTAGGGAAGCACATTTTCCACACCAGCTATGTGTATCCATCTTCATATTATCCCTTATAAACTGCAACACGGCAAAAGAGCACCAGATTCGCCAACATAAAATGCTCACAAAGTATTCAAGTTATTAAAAAAGTATCCCTCAAGACCATTAAGTCTTACCATAGTTATCCCTGGGGTCTCCATAGGCATCTACAGATGCATCAGTCTTGATGCGTACAGCCTTATTGGTTGCCTTACAGAACAGCACAATGTGATTCCCCTTCTGGAACTTCCACTTCTCCAGCTCCCACTGATAATCAGTAAGAAGGGTGTTAAAGTTCATCATGATTCATTACTGTACCATTGTAAATTTGTGATGATTTGAGAAGCAAATTCTAACTGAAGTTTTGAGCTGTGTGTATCAGTAGCACCAACTAAGCACTGCTTGTCATGATCAGAAACAGGTGCATAACACTATGATGTGTGGTAGTCATGGTGAGAAAAACACATGTTTGAGACAACTTTGACAAAGCTGTTGGCTGTGAAGTTTTTGATCATCATGAAAAGCAGATATCTGAGAGAACTTGGACAAAGCTGTTGAATTTGATTTTTAGTCATGACCAGAAACACATGTTTGAGATGTTTGCTAAAAGAATCTTTGCAAGCAAACGTTTACATGTATAGCTTACCATCTCTTTCTCCTTGACGTTGCCTGAATAGGAAGAGAAGGTAAAGTATGTCATAATCATAGTTAGAGCAACTATGGAGAATGAAGCACCTCCATATGTCTTTTGTTTGTCCATGATAACATTAACTTCATAATCATCTTTGTGGGCACATAAATTAATGTATGGCACAAATCATCTTGTGGACATTAGGAATAATCTAAAAGCTATTGGCCTCACCATGAAACACTGTAATTAAGGTAAAAAAAACTAATGAAACAAAGCACATAACTTTCAGCACCAAGGACAGCTCTTTTGGAAGAAAAACATTCTCTACTGCAACTACCACTCTTACCAGTTCTCTACCACATAAAAGATTTCTTTAACTCTCCCAGAAGTATATTAAGTCTAAACTAAGAAATCAATACTACACTAAATCTACTTGAGAGATATGCAATCACACATCTACATGTACCAGGGTCTGTACAATGTGAAAAAATTGTAATAATCAATTCCAAACTTTGAGAAATGATGCTGAATGCTCTCTACTGCCTAGAATTTCAGGACTTTGCCAATGAAGTTCCAACTGTCAAATACATGTAGAACAACATTTTCAGAAATTTTGAAGCATGTGAAATCAATTCTTCAAACCAGTTCTTCTGAGATTTTGGGTTGTGTACATACCCTGATCTACACACCGAAATGTATGAACCTTGATCCCAGCCTCCACCTTTGTTACCAAGACTACCTCTACTTTCAGCACAGCAGCACATGATGCAACACTCATAACTATCTAGAGAAGGCTTCATCATTCTAATTCTACACAAAACCAAGCATTCGTGCAACTTGTCTACTATTTTTTTTTCTCCAAGAACCTCACGTTGTTTGTGTTTTGACTGCTTAAGCAGGATGGCCCTTACTGCACCGTACCGCACAAACTCTGTCAACAAAAAACCACAGCAACACAATGTACAAGCCTGCTTATCTAACATTAGCCATGCAGCCATAGAAGCTCACCTCTCAACCCTGTGTTTTTTCTGCCCTTATCCTGAATAACCTTTTGTCTAAGCACTGGGATATTTTGCTTTGGCAAGGAGATAAAGCCAATGTGGTAAATAATGAAAATGACTTTGGCAAAAAATAGCTGGGATATTCACTCTTTAGCAGGAAGTGAATTTATTCTAACTTTAACCCTGAAAGGCTAAGTCAGGATTTGGTTGGGCTTAATCTATACTGGAGATGGCGTCTCTTTCTGGCATAAAGCTCAGGTTACTAAAGGTCAGAATGGAAGCTAAATGCAACTCACGTACATCTGTGCAGACATGTAGTCTGTCTGTCTATACGCATAATTGTATAACACACATTACGCATAATTGCTTCAAACGACTCTGACATATTATGGGAAGGATGCCCTGACATTGTTCTAATTTCCGTATGACATATTGGACTGCAAATTTCTGTGGCAGTGAGTTTCATTGAACATGGCAACATCATGAGGTAAAAAATGGCCTACTAGAACAAGTTATCTTCCTACTTGTTGTACAGAGTTAGAGTGCATGGGTTGAAGGTGTGAGCTAATGTGGCACTTTTCTCAGACACTCTTACACTGTAACTACAATTCAATACACAGATAACTTAAACTAATTTCATGCAAATGTGTCACACACAAAATGAATGAAATTACTTCAAGTTATTTGAACATTGAACTGCCTCTGTGGGACCATGGGATAGGTTAGATACTCACGCGTCATTGGCTGGTCCTCTACCATGAGTTCTCGCACAATCTTCCCATCATCCTCTCCTTCATCTAGCCACCTGTTGGTCACAAAACGGTTTAGGGAGTGTGAGTGGCTGGGATTGTTATGATACTCACAGAAGTACTCCTCTGAACTGATCAAACAGGAAAGCACAGTTCCACATAACTAGCAAGTTCTTAACACTCATCCTAGTCACATTCAGTGCAGCTAAAAAGGCATCTTTACATGTATGCCCATGCAATGCTAGAAATGAGCTTTAAAAAGTATGTGTGATAGAACTGTTTGATCCTTAGATAGAGTGGTATAACAGTTTTACCTTTCACAAGGGAAAACAAATTCTCGTGATGCTCCCTTGGACTCCTTCATCACTACTTTGTCCAGGAACCAGCCTGCACCTGAGGAGGGGGGGGGGCATTAAACATGGAGACATTGCATACAAAATGGATTATGCAATCTTAGACCAAGGAGGTTTAACCTCCTTGCTTAGACTATTCTTTTCAGCAAAAATAAATTTAAAAAATCACTACAAAAAATGAACTCAGAGCACCAGAAATAATAGATGGCATCTTATATATTAGGTTTGTGCAACATGATGTAAGTTCAGTCTCAATTTATACTGTCTTTCTCATATCCATAACATATAAGGATCTGATGGAAGTTAAGACAATGTTGTTTTTGATACAGCTGACATATTTACCTAATCCTGTTCCATCATGGCCGATGATGACCTTCTTGATGTTCCCCAGGTGAACTGCTTCCACATAGAACACATCCACCTGGGACAACAGGGAAATAATACTGTGTTACGTAACAGACATCATATAATATGATAAAACATGGTGAAAATCACACAATTTGGTCACAAAGACCTCTGTAGTCACATGTCACTTACTTCCCAGCTGCTCTTTTCCATTCTTTATTAATAATCTAATTTGTGTTCTTCTCTAGTTCAATGGATAAAGTTTCAAGGACAGCTAACACGACAACACCAAATGGCTGGAGTAAATGACGTCCTAAGAATAAGGATCTCCAGGATCTAATATGAAAGGCTTTTCAAAGAAGTCAGTGAGGCATGAACTTCAAGTTTAGAATAACATGATTTCAATACCACACCCCAATTAATTATATTTCTAGAGCATTGACATAGTCAGGATAATAAAACATCATTAATTCATGATTCAAACAACTGTTAACAATCACATGAAAGTAATACTCATAAGTTGAGGCCATCTTATTCATTCTCTTCAAAAGCAGCATATTCATAGCAGTGGAATATTACCAGATACCGGGGGAGGGGGGGAGGGTTCTTAATAACATGTCACATAATCCCACCTGTCCTTTCTCAAAGAGAATAGCCTTCTTCCCTTTGTGCAGCAGTCTGGGGCCAGTGTCTCCTCTCTCACCATAGACTGTGATGTACACATTGGCGTCTGTCCCAGCATTCCACACATCACCAGTGTAGACCGCACACTGGTACTTCAAGACTGTAAAAGCATTGTCAATGAGTTTGTCATTTCCAAAGTCTGACCATTTGGCTCACAACAACAGATGTTGATGCCTAATACTACCAATTTACAGAACTTTTGTTATCTTAATGATTGTGTATTGATCAAAGAGCATGATCATCCTTTGATATACATCAGTATTAATGAGGAAATGCATGTTTGCCTCTGTAAAAAAGTGCTTAGCCTAGTGGTGAACTAGTCCGGACTAGTCTGAGATGGTCCCAGCAGGTCCCAGAGGTTGGGACTAGTCCTGTCTGACACAAATCGGTCTGAGGTGGTCCTGGGAGTCGGGGACATAAGTGGCCCAGCAGGTCCTCTGGTCCCGGACTAGTCCTGGACCTGACCACATCTCTTCGAAACTATAGTCCCGCTAAATTTAAACCTACATTGTCAGAGAGCTGTGGCACATAGAACCAGATTATGTCTAACAGACAGCTGAGTTGTGGACTTACTGGGGAGTAGAGGCTCGCCGTCCCTGTAGACCGGCAGCTCCCGGCACACCTCCCCATCATCCTCATCCCGAGCCATCCACCGCTCCACCGGGAACTGGAACTGCTCCTTGGTGTTTACATCCTCCATGTGGATCTGTACAGCAGACACAACAGCATCAGCACGGACTGAGTATACCGGTAATGTGAATGGCTAAAGATATGGGGCAACCCTATCAAAACTTCTTTACATGACTTTTCTGAGTGCATAAAGTTCAAGTATGATATTAAAAACCATGGCTTAGCAAAAGAAATGGTTACTACTGTAACAGTTAATGTCAATAAGAAGTATGACAGAGTATAGACTGGTACTAACAGTATAAAGATACTGGCAACACTTACCTCTCTACAGTACCATGCAGGGGAGGCTCCACTGTCATCGTGCCCTATTCTAACTTTGTAGACTTCCCCAACATTGCCTGCAGACAACTGCAGGTACAAAACAGAAACAAAAACTGATGAGTTTCCAATGTCAGTAAAACCAGCAGTGTACTTACAGTGTTACCTATGATTTTAAAAGTATTGTCGTGTAAAAACTTTACACAAATCACACAGCTGCATTATGATGAAGGCACTTACAGTGAACTCATCCTCATTCCCCCTTTCAAACAGCATGCCATCCCCTCCTCCCAGTGAGAGCGGTCCGGAGTTGCCCCTGTCCCCGTAGACTGTCAGGGTGACGTGAGCATCAGTACCAGAGTTGGGATAGTCTCCGGTGTGGACCCAGACTCGGAAACGACCCTCTGCAGGAACACACAAAGGGTATCACATGTTTTAGTAATGGGAATCCCAAACCATTTTCTACATCAGAAATCTTGTCATGGAATAGCAATGGCACCTGCAAAAACAAGATTATGATTTCAAGAGAAAACTATTTTTTACAAGATATCATACACTACATGGTATAAGTACTAAATCAGAAAACTTAAAAAGATTGGATTGTAAATTGTACAAGTTGTGTAATAACCTTTCAATAGTTTGATAAGTACATGATTGCATGTCTATCTTTCTTAATGCTAGTAGTGTTTTAGCTATATCTATGCAGTGGGCTATAGAATTGTTTGTCCAAAACATTTCAATGTGTACTTCTGTACTGCAATTAAAAATCTTTCTAAAAGGTTGCCTAAATCTACATGTAATAATTCATATGATTCTCACTCATGTATTTAAAAAAATCAAAGTAAATAGGTGTGTGTTGTGACCGTGTTACTGAAGTTTGACAACCTTAACCCTGGACTTACTAAGGTGAAGGACATTAGATCTAGATGGCGTCTGATGAAACCTGAGACTTCCAACACTTCATATCAAGAGCAGCCAATGAATAGATGGTGACAGATTGATTTATTTGCAGTTTGAAGAACATTGTTCACTTCTGCATCAGCTCTCCTGAAAAGCTAGTCTGATCTCTTCATGTTGCCTACCTAAGGACAAGTTCAGTAATGCATGACATGGTGAGTGTGTGAAGCATCAAGAGTCAAAATCAAACCTAAATCCTTTAAGGTCATATTGGCCCTTCAGTAAGCATCAAAGCAAATCTATTGTACCGACCAAGCTGTTTGACGTAGGCTGACTGTAACTACAAACATCTCAGTAAACAAGCCTCTTGTGTCCCCCTGACTGTTACAAATAATAAGTAGTGGTCCTCAGTGTAAGTACTACAGAACACATGACACACACTTCCATATATGTTTACACCTTTCAATCTCCAAAGAGGACTTAAAACCTGTTCTCATTGGTTGGCAGCAGGCCATACAGGAGAACTGCCCAAATCAAGGGTCTTGTTTGGACGTTCAGGACAAACTCATGAACTTGGCCTTCACATTCTGACAAACGGCTGTGATGGGAGGCAAAACTTTCTGCCCAGGTGTTCACAGTTTGTTCTAACCTGTGCTCTGGCAGTGCGACAGGGAGGGATGTGGGTGTGGTCTTGCAACATTTCCTGCCCCCAAGAACACACTTTCAGGTAAGACAGTCTCCTTTTATTTCTTTTTAGTGCCTATCTTCAAAGCAGACATCATTCAATCTGAAGTCCCTATCTGATACATTTTGTGTGAAGTAGAAAAAGGTAAGTTATACAGTTATACAGATGACCCACAATATGCCATGCGCAATAGCATTTATTTGCACGCACAAGTCTTGCAATATATATATATATCAAAAACAACTATTTTCAAAGATGGACTTGCTTAAGATGGTATTGGCTAATTGGCTAATGTTCTTACTGAAATCCTGCTTATGTCAGTTTCGCAAAATCCTAAGCATCCTATTACCTCCTCTATGGCCAATTTTTAATGGTTTAGATTTTTATTAAGTTGTTTGTAACTCATCCATGCAATTAAGTGGTGTTATACTTTTTGAAGGTTGGAATGTGCCCTTGATGTTCAAGCTGGTTACTTCAAAGTCTACCGACTAGGAGAACCTCTGTTTAGCAATGTATCCTAAGGAATCCGCATACTGTTTTTTAAATCTGCTCTAGATCTCATAAGGAAATTTGTCTTCAATATCTGAGGTAGATTATAATCATCATTACTCATCCTCTTTACAGGGGTTGAGTATTTAGTGTACATAATTCATCTGGATCCACCCCTATGTTCCAACAGCCCAACCTGGATGTATGTTCTGACAACCCTAATCCTATGTCAGAACCTAGTGGTAAGGATCTTGGAACACAGGTGTCAGAACATAGGACTGTCCCCATTCATCTAGTATATTTGATACCTGAGGTAGAAAGAGCTTGACATCATAACAATCTGTGATACCCTTTCTCAAAGAATTTACTATTGGAAAATTGTATCCTTGTTCCTGACTTAGTTAATAACTTTTCATCTTTAAGTTCAGTTTTATTCTCTTCTTCACATCAAAAAGTGAGTATGTTCATTTGAGGTTTGCTTGCTTTGTGCTACTTTGCAAATTTGTTACTGTAACAGCTTTGTACTCACTTCATCTGGTTTAAAGCAAATTGTTTCATCTCAAAGTGATAGATATCTATGATCTCTAAAACTCTGAACCGGCTTGGTCTAACAGAGGCTTTTAAGTTTGAATGAATGGTTAGTCTGGGAGATGCAAGTAGTATTTTTCTTGTCAGGAACAGCCGTTCCATACGGATCTGATATATCTAATCAGTCCAACGTCATTCTTCATCAGTGATGGAGAAATAATTCTTTGTCAGATGAATGCTAGCATTGCATGTTGAACTCAACATATACATAGATCTTGCTACATGCAACATACAGAGCTAAATGAGTCTTTGTTGCCTGTCCGATGTGAAGCTTTCAATCAAGTCTACAATTGCAAGCCTTTGCCTATTCATATGCTTCCAATTGGAATTGTCAAATTTCTATTTAATACTCTGCCTATAATCTAGGGGCCTTGATTTAAAAATTTGGTAGAAATTTGAGGTAATAGAAAACATTGTGACTTCCATTTTATATAATTTCTAACACAACAAAATGCAAATCTAACCTGTTTATACCTGAGTGATAAAGATTATGAAAACAAACTGAATTTTATAAGTATAAATCTGAAAAACTATAATAGCTGAAGAGTAATTGAGTGAACCTATGGTACAATGTGCACATATGGTCTGTAGAACATCATTCAGTCTTTGTGACAGGTCAGTCTTTTAATGTCCAGGTATAAAATACCATGTGGTCAAAAGATTTCAGTAAGAGAACAATCTAATTTTAGTAAGTTGTGTTCTCTTCGAATTGTTTCAGTGAATTTCAGGTAAGATGTGTCAATAGTTGGAATGTGCAATTCATCTTTGTGGTATTTAATACCTGGACATCATAAGGAAAGAAAATAGAAGTCTTAGAACAGTCTAGGTCTCAGTAACAGTACAGTCTGGCACAGTAAAGTATGTTGCAGTACAGTCCAGGTCTGTTCAGTCTGCTCATATACAGTCATTCAGTCCATGAGGTTCAGTCTCCAGTCACTTAACCTGTCCTTGTACAGGACCAGTCCATTTTGGTCCAGTCCAGTCTTATGTTGTTGTAGTCTAGACTCTGTGATCTCACAATAAGACAACCAGTCTGGGTCTGTCCAGTCATACAGTTCATGTCATCAGGTCCTGTCCACAGTCCAGTCAAAGTGTCCGTCATGACCCCAAGCAGCTGTCCCTGAGGCACATGTATCTGCTTCTGACCAGGTGTCCACAAGGATTTCTATAGCCACCAACTTCTGTCACTTTCTTTTTGTTTCCATCCCTCCTGCTTGGTCAGTCAAATCATATGATCTAGCAAAGTCTATTTTGGACATCGCATCCTGTCTGGAAAGTCTTTAAACAAGGCAGGTGCATGAAAATACGATTTCTGCCTTCACTTGATACAGTTAATGAGCTAGCTGTTCTAATGACTTGGAGAAGTCAAGCGTTGATAAGTCAGTGTCGACGCAAGTCACTAACAGTTCTTTTGAAGTCACAATGAATTATTCTCTTAGCTTTATGAGGTAGTCTCCTTTTAGTTAGAGTTCTTTTGAAGTTGCCATAAATTATTCTCTTAGCTTTTTGATGTAGTTTCATCCTCTCTTAACACTTTCATCCTCCCTAAAGCTTTCATTGCGCATATTCATTACCTCTCATCAGTGTCTGTCAATGACAGTGTTCCTTTTAATTTAGAGATGGTGGCATCAAATTTGAAAAAGTAACAACAAGGTGTTAAATATAATTAATATTTAGTAGGCATTTCATGTATGTCCAAAGTGCTCAATTAATTCATCTCCAAGTGACATGAGATTAAGACTGAGTTACTTCCAAGGATGTCTAGAAAGGAAGAACTGTTTCTCTTTCTTGGTATATTTTTGTGTGTGGAGAAGATTTTTGTTCTGGACTTCGGGGGCTTTCTTTGCCAAGGCATGGTCAAAATAAAAGGATGCCACATCTGTAAGCCACTGCCAGCCTTCATCCTCACCACCTGACATATTGACATTTTCAGGTTTTTGGTTTTCCATGTTTTGCATTGAGCCATATAAACCACTAGATGGACATTGCTGCACTGCAGCTAACTCAACATCATACACAGTGCAGCTTCTCTCTGAGAGCTGAATATCTTCAAACACTTCACTCCCGCTGTCCTCAAATGTGTCACTGTAAACAAACTCCTGAAAGAGTTCACCTTTATCCAATACAATGTCAAACTCCTTATTGGCAGATTCCGATAGATCTGTCGATTTAGGTGAAATGTGGTCGAGGTAATCTTCAGGTTTTTTTAAATCCTCTGACTTGACTGACATGAGCAGACTTGGGGTTCTACCGTCCAAATCAAAGGCCATTTCCTCCTCCTTCGGGAGTTGTTCCAATCGACCTTTTGGTTTCCATTTTTTATCTTCCACATTGCCTTTCTGGATACTTTGTTCCAAAGGATCTTTTTGACCCTTTTTGTCATGTTTCATATAACTTTCATGCTTACTCTTTCCTTGAGGCAGATCTTTCTGATTACCCATTTTCTGTTCAGAACAATCTTGTAGGCTGCTCTTTTGTAGTTCAAAACAAGCCTCTGAGGTAGTGTTTTCTGGTTGTAGCCAACCTTCCAGATTACTCTTCCCAAATTGATTCTCCTCAAGTAGCCAAAGTGTTACTTTGGTCTCCAATGGATTGTGGTACACAATGTCTCTTAACCCTGAGGCTTTCTTTTTGTTTCTCTTCTTTTGGGTTTTTCTCTTTCCTTGGTGCTGAAATGGCAGTCCAATGCCTTTGTGGACTCCCTGGTCAGATTTGATACCTGAAAGGGGTGCCTTGTCTTCCTGG